CTTCTACAAAAGGAATATTGCACATACTCTGTATAACAAAAAGGACAAAACTGAGCATGCTCTAAGGATGTTGCCTTCATTGGCCTGTCCACCATTAAACCAGGAAAGTGGAAATAAGAGATCGGAGTACACATAAATTAAATACTCAATGAAGCAGCCTGCTATGAGGATAAAGGCCTCACAGAATCACAGAATTTAAGAGTCAGAAAAGGTTGTATGGGCCATCTGGTCCACCCTACACACAAAAGGAATTCCCATTATAAGATACCCAACAAGTGGTTATCCAGCTTCTGCCTGAAGACTTCCAAGGAGAGGGAACCCCTCAGCTCTCTAGGGAGCCCAGCTCCCTTTCAGACACCTCTAATGGTTAGGAAGTTCTTCTTACATGGAACTTTAATTGGCCTCTTTTCAACTACCTCTTTGCTCCTTGTTCTGCCCTCTGGGTGGGGCCAAATGGAACAAATCCCTCCTTCACATGACAGCCCTATCCTGTCAGACCACTATCGTGTTCCCCATATCTCTCCTCTTCTCCAGCCAAAACACAGCAAATCCCTTCAACTGAGCTTCCTGTGACACGGATTCAAGGCTCCGCCATCTTGGTTACCTCCTCTGGCTACTCCCCAGCTAATCAATGTCTTTTCTAAACTGTGGCCCCCAGAACTGAACACAGTCCTCCAGGTGAGGTCTGACAAGGGAGAAGGACAGTCAGGACAATCACCTCCCCATTCCTGGAAGCTAGGACCCAATTCACGAAGCTTAAGGTGACATGAGCATTCTTGGTCGCAATATCAAACCACTTGTAGTCAATTACCTGAACCAGAACTCTGCAGATTTGGGTCCTGCCATTTGGACAAGTCATATTCTCTCTTAAATAAGAGGGTTAATCCAGATTGCTCCTACAGTCCCTCCTGCATGCCCAAAGCTGAAGTTACTCTGCTTTAGGGGGTAAGCCAGGTGTTCAAACAGAGCCTCTATGACTTCTTCTCAAGGCCATTATAGAGGGAATTCTTGCATCAGGCAAAAAGTTGGGCTTGATGATCTAGGAAGGTTTTTTTTTCTAATTTAGGAATCTTGGGGGGGGGGCACTGCAGGAAAGGGGAATGTCTTACAGCTGATGATTGAATTCCCTCCAGATCAGTGTCTCCTCTGCAACTAGGAAGCTTCCTGGGGTGCTAAAAACTTGATGGACACATCCAGGGTCATGCCATCCACACGTGTCAAAGGCAGGACCCAGGCCTTGAGGCCGGCTCCTTATCTGCTACATAGCAGCTGCTTCTCTTAGGATTCTGATTCAATGATAGTGTACATGAGGCTCAAATACTTCAAAAACCCTTGATTCTTATCAGTGTGAGTAATTCCTCCTCTTAACACAGATAGAAACACTTTATGCCGTAATATATTAACTTTGAGAGCTCCTGTAGTCAGAAAAGAAATCATCTCCGAGGCCAAGTTGGCAACCTCCCAACTCATGGGGAAGGCCCCCCAGAAAAGAGCTACCCTAGGAGCCAGCAGGATCTGGGGTCCCTGGTCTTATAACCGCCATTCAACACTGCTCAGCTGAATGCCGTCAAACAGGTCTTGAGGTCTCTACCAGAGTCTACTCTTCCAGATGTTGCTTGGTCTGATACTCATCTGCCGGTCACAAAATCCCCAACCAATGCTACTCTGTTCCTGAGACAGCTAGCTGGTACAGTGGATAGAGCATTGATCAGAGTCAAGAAGACCCTGGATTAAAATCTGGCCTCAGACACTAGCCTTTGTCTGCCTCGGTGTCCTCATCTGTAAAATGAGCACCATCCTCCCAGGGCTGTAAAGCTCTCGGCACAGTGCCTGAAACACAGATGGTGCTTAATAAATGCTTGTTCTCTTCCCCCTCTTCTCTGTTGCCTCCAGCTTCTGGCTCAACTGAAACCCTTGGCTTGTCTCTTCATCAAGGGAAAGGCAGCCATTTCTTTTATTTTAAAGGCCTTAGATTTTTCCTTACTAGGACTCTTGAAAAAGGCAGAAGCCCTAATCTTCTGGGGACAAAATAGTGTGGAAGCAATGTTGTTCCCCTTATTTACAGAGTTTGGACCTGAGACCTCACTTGTCTCCAGCTGGAGTGTCTCAGGCCAGCTGCCAAACTCTTTAGAATAATAAAGAAAGAGAGGAGAGACACTCCTGGTTAAGTATCAAGTCACCAGTACCCTCATTTTCAAGTCTGCCTTCTCTTTGAAACTTCCTGGTCAAGAGGCGTGGGCAACCTCACTTTCTGCTCCCACAGGGAACACCTCTGAAGGCTTGCCTCCATACACTCATCAGATACTCTGGGCCAGAACAGAGACCAGTCTAGTGATTCACACTCAGATCAGAGTGCAATCAGAAACTCAAGTGCAGTAAAAACTTTGCTGGTGATAAAGGGTAAAAATACAATGGTTGATACCAAGAACTGAGCGGTAGGTCTTCTTACACTAGCCCAGCCTGTATAAAAGGAGCCCCAGTGCTAACACATCCTACTTCTCTGTGGTAAATCCCCCACAAATTTCCTAGGGACCTTCCACCACTAAGATAATATTAAAACAAATCTAACATGAACGGTACTGAAAGAGGAACTCTAAATAATAGGATAAGAAGTTGACCTATGATTTCACCAACATAAGGAACTCCCTGGTGAGGGTGGGGAATGGCAAACCACTCCAGTATCTTTGCCAAGAAAACCCCAAATGGGGTCACACTGAGTCAGACACCAGTAAAATTGAACAACAAATACACCAGTAGCCAAGTTAACTTCCCAGGCCTGTGTGGTGGTCTGGCAAGAAAGGTCCATAGGAAAAACCCAGATTATATTGAAGTGCAGTTAGGTGTGTTTTCGAGGCTCAAATAAGATATTGGATGTAAAACTTAAAAACCCTAAAGAGCTATATAAATGCCCACTATTATCATCACTTTTTAGCCTCCAGTCAGTCACCTGGCCGCCAGTCAGGTGACTTAATTCCCAAGCACTCCTGCTGAGCTCAAGCAATTATTACTGAGCAATACAGGGTGCTGATCAATGATTAACACGTGGGCTGTCTGAAAAAAAAATCTGCACATACAGTGCCTAAGTCTAGACTACCAACAAAACAATAAAATGAGCCCCGAGTTGTAGCAGCTGCTGATTTCTGAGGTGCAGACACTCACCCTGGAAATGTTAATCAGCTCTTGAAAACCAGTTAGAGCTGACTCCAGCACGGCCTCATATGGGGCTCTAACCCAAAAGGCAGATCTGCCGGCCAAAGTAGGGAGTTAGGGCTCAGAAATCCAGTCCACCAAACCCATCTCTGAAAAACATTACCCTCCTCCACTGCCTTCTCAGATCAGAGAACAGCTAAACCTGGGGGAATTCATCTTTCTGGAGCCAATTATGGAGAAGTCCCTATTTTACACATCTTTTAGGGAGATGGGTGGTACTACCATTCTTACTTTAGAATTGAGGAAACTGAGGCAGAGGTTAAGTGACTTGCCCAGGATCAATAGCTAGTGCCTCAGGCTAGATTTGAACTCAGATCTTCCTGTGTCCAGCCCTCTGTGCACTGTGGCACCCCCCCCCCCAGCATTCCAGGCATGGGGAACAGCCTATGCAAAGGCCTGGAGGTAGGAGACAAGATGTATGGGGGCTAGCAAGAAGACCATGGTAGAACAAAAACCACGTAATAAAGTAAAATGTGCCACTGGACTGGAAATGGGAGTCAGATGGTGAAAACAAGTTAACAGTGCTAACTCTAGTCAAGAGAATTTTAAATCAATAGACTCATCCAGTTTCACAATAAGCTTTTTAAAATTGGGGGTGGGGAGAAGGAATGGATCCTTGTTTAGTAACGAGCTCCACAAAAGAGACAAATACAATTGGTTCTGCTTCGTTAACTTTTACTTTATTCTGAGTGGTAATCTTGTCAGATCACCTCTAACTACTTTGGAAAAACACCTATCAGATGCTGACTTAAGTAGAAAAGAAACAAAGCGAGTCTTCAATATACAGTTTCTATGATACAGAATACACAATAAATTATATCTACATGCAATGCTACAGTTACACAATGTAAAAAAATACAGTACTTTTTATGTACATTTTTTGAAGATTTACATTTTTATGTACATTTTGTAAACTTTTTAAAACACATTTCTTTGTACCAAGCCCCAAGTGTACAAAGTCCATCGGTTCACACATCACCATTCTTACATCTGTACCACAGCACAGACATTTACTTATACACACTACCACAGACATCTTTTTACTTTGTATTTCAGCCCTGGCCCCCCCACAGTCTAATACCGTTATTCTTGAAATGTGAATTACATTCTATTGACTTCCTGTATTCTCAGAGCGTACAATGTAATCATACCAACATATGACTTTTGCAATGCAACAAAACCAGGCATTTGTCGTCACATCCACATTTATCGATTCCACACGTACCCAGTTCTACGTAATAACCTTATCCAGCACTGAGAGCTTTTACACATACGCATGCAAAACTAGTTTTGATTATGGATTTTATTAAACACTAACATAAACTGAAGGGCTAAAACACTTAAGACTTAAAAAGAATGCAAATGCTTGTCAAGCTTAGCTTGTCAATTATTTCTGTAGCTAATAGGTCAACTTCAACTAAGACGCTAAATATTAAAATGCACAAGAGCAAGACTACTACATTTTTAAGTTTTGCTGGGTCTGTATTGGATATTACATTCAGTTTTTAAAAAGCATATCCTGACATGTTTGAATGTATCCTCCATCACGAAGACACATTTATGAAACTGTTAAAAGGGCTATCCACTGTCCCTGCCAATAGAGCATAGGCACACTCCCAAATATGTTTAAATGACAATACCTGAAGGCTTTCTGTAAAGTTGTAAAAGACCCATCTATATTTAGACTGCATTTATCAAAAAAAAAAAAAAAACAAAAAACCCCTCTGAAAAGTAGTAATTCAAGGTTTTAATTGTCCCTCCCCTAACCACCCACCCCCCTCCCCCAGCTAAAAAAAGCATGACTATTCAGAGGAAAAAAAAAAGTGCCACCCTAAGTATTTTCACTACTTGTCTAAGAAGCATAAACCCATTTAATGGCTTAGAATTAAATATGAAAATAGGCCAGATCCGATCTGAGTAACAAACTGAAAGCAGGTGGATCCAGTCCATGCAACTCCTTCCTGAAAGATAAAGGGGAGGGGAAGACCATCCCCCATTTATTGCTTAGAAACCTGTAGGCGGACTCCCTCCCAACGTGTACTTCGTACAACAAGATTTCTAAGATTGAAAGCACAGGGCTTGTGCCACCTTGAAATCAAAAAAGAAGGCGCATTCTCGATCACTGGGAGGAGAGCTGCTCAGACTTTCTTCTCCACAACTCATATCTTCACAAGAGTCCTCACTGAAAAGGGGAGCAAAAAAATAAAAAGATCTTATTTACGACACACTTGAAAACTTTACGTTAACCACTTTAAATGTAATCTTGAAATCACGAGGTTAAAAAATCAGGCACCTTTCTTTTTTTAAACCTCCAAAGACATCCCAAAATAAACTCTTCTGGAGTCTAATGAGAACCTCTCCGTGACTCTTTACTTTCAAAAGGAAGCATGTGTGCCAGACTCACTCTCGGCGCACACGCTGCTGCTCCTGAGACAGCCAGTACCAGGGACTCTACTAACATCCACGACATATTCACAGAGCCCTTTCAAGTTTGCAGAGCACTCTACAAGGACAGATGGCGTGTCTCCTTTGACCCTCACAACCACCCTGAGGGGCAGGCACTGTTCTTAGCTCCATTTTACTAATGAAAAACTGAGGCCAAGAGAGGTTAAGTTATTTGTGCAGGCTCCCACAGCCAGGAAGTATCAGAGGCAGGCTTTAGACTTGAGACTTACCGGTTTTTAAAGCTAGTGCCCTATTCACAACTCCAACCAAATAGTATATTATACTGTTGGCACCTGGATCATTAACTACAATCAAGGTAAAAAGGCAGTTTTCTGATATGATGTAACTGTATCTTTTAAAATACTCATGAGATACAAGATACATCATCTGTGCAACGAAATTTTCAGTCTCATAAAATGTTTACAACTGGAAAGGACCTCCAAGGTCACTGCAGATCAACCCCCTCATTTTACACACACATAGCGACCAATGACCGAAATATGCAAAATACGTCATGGTCAGCAAAGGAAAACAAATTGGATCTCTGGCATCCTCCAAAGACTACTTCAGAGCTACAGTGCTCCATGTTAGGTACTTAATGCTAAATCACTTAAAAAAATCTTCCTGGATATTTCAAATTGTTTATGTTTGCTATAAAATATTTTGAGGATAAAATCTCTCAAGTAGCACTATGAAACCATTAAAGAAATATGGCCATTCTTTTTTCGGTGTTGCTGATTAAGAGAAACCCTACACAGTCTGGAGATCTTAGCCAAGCTGAGTTCCTGCAGCATATGTGAATTTTTATTTCTCTCTATCCTGATGAGGGTCTTCACAACAGCTGTTTTAGTAATTAACCAGGATTCTACATTTTAAAAAGCATAAACCCAAGTTATCACATAGTTAAGCTAAAGCTAAACAGCATTTCCAAAACAGAATAAATTCTACTATCTATGCTTAACAGACAGTCATCAGGTCTGGTATTACTCCAAAAACACAACAATGGGATTCTATCAAAAGTTCTGGGGGGAGGGGCAGCTAGGTGGTGAAGTAGATAGAGCTCTGGCCTTGCAGTCAGGAGGACCCGAGCTCAAATCCAGCACTTGCTAGCTGTGTGACCCGGGGTAAGTCACTTAACCCCAATCACCTCACCAAAAAAAAAAACCATCGGGGGAAATATTAAGCTAAGAAGACCATGAGGAGAACGGGAAGTCATACAAGTGTTCATCTTCCACAAATGCCTGCTTTTCCCCCTAAATCTGCCTCAGAAAATTTTGTTTTAAATAAAATGCTTACAAGGGTGTGTGATGATGTAACATGTTGGACAAGACAGAAGTAAAAGAATTTAAATTTTCTTTCCTGTCAGCACTCTTAGGAAAAAAACATCTGCATGACTGGATTACACACAGAGCTGTTTCACCTCCAGTGAGTTACCTCACTGTTGAGCTGTTTCCTCATCTGTCAAATGAAGCAATCGGCCTGGACGGATGTCGAAGGCCCTTCACAGCTCCAACGTTCTGCTATTGTCATGTTTAAAAGGCACCCTTCTTGGGGCAGCTAGGTGGTGTAGTGGATAGAGCTCCAGCCTTGGAGTCAGGAGGATCTGAGTTCAAATGTGACCTCAGACACCTGACAACACTAGCTGCGTGACCCTGGGCAAGCTACTTAACCCCACTGCCTAACCAAAAATAAATACATACATACATACATAAATAAATAAATAAATGGCACCCTTCTTCCCAAGGCAGCTGGCTCACCTCTGAGTCTCCTCGAAGCAGCCCCCCTCGGGAATGGTAGGCAGCTCTGGAACGCTGTAATAGCTGTTGTGAAGATTCTGGGCCGTGCGCCGGGAGACGATCCACACGAGCTTCTTGTGGTCTGGCTTGCAGCACTCCGGAGATGAATATTCCGCGAGGCATTTTGAAACTAGCTCCCTCCAGTAAGAGAAATCAGCATCGTTAATCTGGAAATACAAAGAATTTGAAAGATTGAGAAAGGACTACATCCGGCCTTTAACGACAGCCCAAGTCAGACTCCGGCTATCAAAATGCCCAGGTGAGCATGGGTGTGCCAAGACGCCCATCTGCATGTTGCCTCTCTCCCCACCAGACTGGGAGCTCCCTGAAGGCAGGGACAGGTTTTTGCCTCGATTTGCATTCCCAGCGCTTAGCACTGCCTGGTACTTCATAAACGCTGATCCAATTGATTTCTAGCTTCGACTATGTTATGGAGCTTAAAATTTGGTATCATATTTCTTAAATTCCTTTCAGAATTTAGAAAATTTCTCAGAAGTGAGTTACTGCCCCAAACCTAGGAAAAACCATTTGCTTTTAAGGAAGAATTTTAATCCTTTGCAAGCTCCCTTGATAACATGATGGTTCAGCTAACGTGAAGACATTCAGTGGTCACATGAAGAGCTAGAAAAGATTATAATAGCTAGCATTTAGAGTGCTTGTGAGGTTTGCTTAGTACTTCATAAATATCACCTCACTTAACAACAATGATAGCCAACACTTACACAGTGCCAGGCACTGTGCTAAGACTTCACAATCATTTATCTCATTTGATCCTCTCAATCACCCCAGGAGATCGGGGCTATTGTTATCCCCGTTTTGCACATGAGGAAACTGAGGCAGGTAGGTTAAATGATTTGCCTAGGGTCACACAGTTGGAAATGTCTGACACATGATTTGAACTTAGGGTGCCGGGCTTGGAGTCAAGAAGGCCCGAGTTCAAATCCAGCCTCAGACACTCAGCTGTATGACCCTGAGCAAGTCACTTAACCTTTTGCCTCGCTTTGCTCATCTGTAAAATGAGGATAATAATAGCACCTCTACCTGCCAGTATTATTGTAAAGATCAATGAGGCAATAACTGTAAAGCATTGAGCACTGTCCCTTCGTATGGCAGTGCTGTGTAACTGTTAGCTACGTATCACTGTTACGATTTCCGACTCCAGGCCTGGTACCCCCTCCATTCCCATGTATACTACTGTACACATTTTACATTAGGACCACAATAATCTGAAAAGCAGTTAGAGCAACAAAGTCCCTAAAAGACAACCGACAACCGCTGACTGTTCTTGTCCCCCAGACTTAGCCTCTTCCTCCAGGGAAAGAAAGCCTGCTCCTTCCTCCAGAGGCAGACCATCCATTTCGGGACAGTTTAATTTGTAAAGGGTTTTCTCTTACGTGGAGCACAAACACAAAGCCTTGGTAGCTCCTACCCACCATTCTTCACTCCGCTTCTGCGCCAAGTACCATGGGCTTATTAATCCCTTCAAAATATGCGAATAACCACATCTACCTGGGTAACGCCCCCAACACGGGCCATTCATGTGCACACAGCAAACAGCCCCTGACCTCCAGAAGCCTCTGTTCTAACAGGCAAACAAGCACATCCGTGAAGATATGCAGCACGGACCCACACGTCTGCATGGTGTGTGGAGAAAAAAGAAACCTGCCACCTCTCAAGTTTCTCCTCCATCTGTCCCTAGTTTCTTCACCTGATGCTCACACTGCACAGTCTCCAGGCCCTGAGCGAGCTCCACACCGCCCCCCAACATGTGAGGCTACACAGAGGACGGCTGGTCAGGTGGGGCAGAGAAGAACTACGGCCTCCCCTGGTCCAGACACGATGCCACAGGAGACTCAAGAATATCCCATTAAACTGAGGAGCTCTCCTTGCAAGCTCTCATCCCTATGTTTTGGTTTCCTATGTGTGACTCTTAAAAGAAAAACTCCCTAAAATATACAACAATTTACCTTGGAATGCCTTTGAACAAGAAGGAGGATTTCCAATAATTCAATAGATTTCAAAGTTTCCACTTCTAGATTGAGAAGGCACAAAGCTAATACAGACGGCTGTGGGGGAAAAAAAAAAGCAGAGTGTGTGTGAATTTCCTCAGTATATCTGTCAAAGGATCATAATTATGTTGTTACTAAAAAACAAAAATAAAAAAATATACTTACTTTTGCTTTTGAAAAAGTTAGTCGGCAGTTGCAAGCTTTCAGTTGAGCCTCCAATTTATCAAGACTCAATACTTCTTTCCTATGAGACATATCAAAGGAAAGAAGTTTTACACCGATCCACAAAGACTGCCCAGATTAACAATTTAAATGTTCTCAAGACATAATTTTAAAATTTAAAATACTTAAGGGGAAGCAACAGCATGGGACCTAGAGAAAGAAGCCGTTTTGTGAAGTGCCAAGCTGGCGGGTGACGTTACAACTATGAGGTCTGAGTGGCTGGACACTGACTTGTGCTCACCTTTCTGAAGTGTGACGAAGTACGATAGTGTGGTATAAGTGCAAAAAGTTTAAGGCAGTAGTAGCTTCCAGTTCATAGTGCAACTTTTCAGAAATGATTTTTTCCATCCGTTTTATGTCAGAAGCAGTACACTTGCACTGACTGATTCTGATGACATCATGAGTTGATGGAACATTGCATTCCTCTTCAATTATTCTAGCAGCCAGAAGAAAACAACAGACTCCAATGCAGGACAAATGCTTGGGCTTCACCTGAAGAACAAAGATGTCTTTAGAAGCGCAAAAGGACAAAAGAGTAACAGCTGATGTCATGTTTTAAAGGGTTACGAAGCAATCTACCCACATGACTGCATGTGAGCACCACCAGTTAAGCAGGCAGGTAGAAGGCCCACAGGATGAGACTGTGAGTCAGGGGTCAAATGCCTCTTACAGCCTCTGAAAGCTGGGAAGAGCTGGAACCTAGCTTTTCTAATCCCAAGGCCAGCACACACGAGAGAACACCTTGTGGCCCTATCGCTTAAGAGAGGTGGGCTTCAGCTCGATACACAGAAACATTATCATCAAAGAGACCCCAAACACTTCCTGGGAAAACCGAGCTCCCTTCTCATTCAAGATCTTCAAGGAAAAACTCTTATACCAGGGCAGCTAGGTGGCAGAGTGCCTAGAGCAGCGGCCCTGAAGGCAAGAGGACCCGAGTTCAAATCCAGCCTCAGACCAAACACTTGACACTTCCTAGCTGTGTGACCCTGGGCAAGTCACTTAACTGCAATTGCCTAAAACAAAACAAAACAAAACTCTTATAACCAATAGGTATCAAAACAAAGGAAAACCTATTAAAGGGTCCAGATCCAAAAGAAAGAAGCTTGTTGCAATGATTCTACTGCTTATACCTTTTTTTTTTAAAGAATACTTCTAAATCCCTCCCAGAGAATGGGCATCTTTAGGAACAGTAAGAAAGACATTTTTACAAAGCAGTCGTCCCACTTTCTAAAAGTTTTCTGAACAATGGTCAGTAATGACCAAATTGAAAAAATTTGCTTGGATAACATATTTGGGACACTAAGAATTACACTGTTCTTCCAGACCTGAGTTTCTTCAGTAGTGCTCAGACTGATATCAATGACAAACAATGTCCCAATACAGCACGTATTTCAACAGTGAAACCACAATGCCGCAGAGCTCACAATACTACCTCATTTTTATCTCCTTAGCTGGCTGTCTTCAGAGGTGCGTATGCTGGGGATGGGAAGGGCAGCCATAACCCCAGGCTGTGTCAGTACCTCAAAGGAAATATGACAGGAGGAGGAGAGAACCAAACACTTGTAAAAAAAACAAAAAGCCTTGGGAGACCTTTTCTTCCCAGCCCTTGGCAGCCATGGAAATATTGGTCATTATGTTTTTAAACAGATTGAAGATAACTTGCAGGCTCCTCACTTTATATCTTAAGTCAGAGCCATCCAAAGTTCTTTAATAGCTGGCCAAAGTCCTAGTTTCAGTTTTCCAGTCACTCCAGTGGATATGTGATTCCATCATTCCTGCCTGCTCGGCCTGTGTAAATCTTGGCCATATTCTCCCAAGAGTCTGCCAGAGTTTTCCCAGCATCCCATGCTGGAGGCCTCCTCCATGTCCCCTGACATCTCAAGGCCGGAGGAGTCGTCTGCCTGTCCCCCTGGAGCCCTCAGCTTTTGCCATGGGAGCAGCCCATCTTCTGTCGTTACATTAATTCCTTGATAACAGCCTTTACCCTTGCTCTTCTCTGGAGTCCCTCCCTGGTTATGGGTAAGAGCCCAGTCAAACCCACCAGGAGCCTCTCTGCTGCTCTATCTGTGCTAATTCAGCATCAGTGGTGTACCACACGTCACTGCCATATTGCAGCACCAACAGCATGTTAGTAATGACAATATGGGCCTTTGATTTCATAGGAAGCTTGAGGTCAGTAAAAGGGCTTTGCAATTTCCAGAAAGCAATCCAGTTGGCTTGCTCTCTTCTTTTTCAACTCTAGGCCCCACTTGTTGTCCACTTATTCTGGCTGCCCTGGATACCCATGGAGTTGGAGGATAAGCACTCTCTCTCTAAAATAAATATCTCCTATCGAAATGCACGTTGAAATCTAGGAAATAAAAACTCTTCATCCAGTTGGTCTTTCTTGTGTGGATGGACAAGCCAAAGGCCTTTAAGTAACTAATTATAGGTCTCTGGCTTGATATAATCAGTATGATGTCATCCACAAACATGAGATCCCCACCACTACAGGCATCTCCTAACTTGACCAGGACTTTTTGTTCAATCTCCTCCAACACAGTGGTGAAAATCTCTGACAAGTATATATCTCATTGTTTCATGCCACTTCCCAGGGTTTGATCAGCAATTCATTGGACAGGGTTATTTTTGTCATACATCTTTCTAAGGAATCCTCAATGACCCTAACACATAGCTGGGAGGCATGCAGCTGTAAAAGAGCCTGTAGGGAAGTATTTTCCTCTACTGATTTTTTTTTAGTCAATGAAATATAAGCACATAGAATCTTATAGTTTTACATCTCCAGTCTTCAATGGTAAAAATGTGGTCCACTATTGATAATTGCTCACAAAAGTTCACTTGTTCCCTACTAATCAATGCCCTTAATCAAAAATGCCCCCAATTCCTAAGAAGATTACTCAAAGACATTGTATAGAAGGGAGATTAGGCAAATAGATTGGTAGTTACAGATGTTCAGTTGGTTATCTTTCTTCCAGTATTAATAAGGCCTAAATTCCCCGCCCCCTACACACAGGCCTTGGTGTGTTTCCCCAAGACAATTTATCACTCCTTCAATGCTTTCAAAAGTATACTGCCTTGAGCACCACTCTCCTCTCTTCCCCCCAATGCTATTTTATAAGACCATAGATTTAAAGCCGAAAGGGACCTTATATGCCTTCTAATCCAGCACCCTTATTTTACCAATAGGGGAAAAAAAAAAAAACCACAACCACACTGAGGTCCAGAGGGGTTAAGTACATGACTTGCCAAAGGCATACAGTAAGTGGCAGTCAGGATTTGAACTCGGTGCTCTCCAAATCCAGCACTCTCTTCCCCTGACTGTTCTAAGTCACCTCAGAGACTGTGAGGTAAGGGGTCCAAGTGTGGCTTGTGCCACTTAACCTTGACATGAAAAAGTCTGTTGAGATGATTTTTACAAATGTTTTCCATTTGTCTTCTGTTTGGAGTCCTATCATTTCGCCCTTGAATGCCTTTGAGATGACTCTGCTTAGCTAGGCAGCTTCCCTAGCCATACTGCCCTCCTCACTGCCTGTCATCCTTCATTGGTCAGTTTGTTTTCAGCAGCCCTGGTTCTCCCTTTGGCAAGTAACTCAAATTAAGTGTTGAATCAGGTTCTTTCTGGTTTCCTTGTTGTGGCAGTTCATTTATAATGGCTTAATTTTGGATTAATTATAGTCTGCACCAATGTCATTTGTTTCCATTGCCTATTTTTTTGTTTTCAACAATTTGTTCAAATAATTCCATTAAAAAATTTTTAAATATATGTGTGTATGTACACACACACATACTTTTTCTCATTATTCTTTTTTTAAAGAAATCTGAATCTTAGCTCTGATGAATTCAGTCTGACTGCTACATGAGCAGCTAACTCTTATTTCAATAATAAGTCCTTTTCTTTCCCTTAAAATGTAGTTGGTTTTGTCACTTGTGATTACGTGGTGCTCTCCATGTCCAGAGCTTACCATTCTCTCCCTCTTTTTCAAAAGAAAAGTATTCAAAACAGAGACATGAGGCTCCTGTACAATCTACAAATCTTTGGCCCCCTTCATGTCTTTTTCCTGAACCACATTCTTCCCAATATTTCTCGCCATCCCCACCTTTCCCCATCTCTGCATTGACATCTCCATGTATCAGAATGCATAGATTTTATTTGGAAAATCTTATCAGGTTCTTTACTGAGGTTCTCTTCCACTTTGTCCTCAGCAACTACTGCTGATATGTAAGCTGCATTTATTTTCATGGGGGTCTTTTTGCAATTACTTATCATTAGTACTGTAATACACAATGACCAAATGTCCCATGAAACATTTGCTGTAGCCTCTGTGCCCATGATAAACCCTCTCTGCCAATTTCCTTCTTTGCTACTACGAGCTATCTTTGCTAGGTATTGTGAAGGACTGTGAGCGAGCCTTGATTCAGCGGCAATGTCAATCAATCAGTAAACATTTATTAGTGCCTTCTTTCTTCTCTTTAGAGCAACACTGATATAATTCAGCTCCTCCAGCAATATGCCTTCCTCCCCCTTCACCCCCATGTGTCCCTGGGTAAGGACCTCATACTTCAAAGTTCACTGATGGTTGAAGAATTCAACCTTCGATCCTGAGCTCCTCTGCCCCATCACTCCTGAAGCAAGATGTGGCCTACTTTTTTGGAAACTCAAACATCATTCGGGAGTTTTACCTAACTTGAAGTACAATGTTATCGTCCTACGCAGAACAGACTCCAGGGTCAATACAGGAATTACTTCAGTCACCACCTTGGTTCAAGCCCTTGTCACCTCTTGCCTAGATCACAGAAACAGCCTCCTAATTGGCCTCCCTGTCTGCGGTCTTTTCCCACTTCAGGCTGGCCTACACGCGGCACCAAGTAATTTTCTGAAAGCAAAGACCTGACCACATCACTCCCCAACTCAAACCGTAGTAGCTTCCTATGACCTCTAGGATAAAATATCAACTCCAAGTTTAGCCTTCCCCAGCCTGGTCCTGACTTATCTTTCCAGACTCACTGACAGTATTCTTGTCCACCTCTGTAATCCAGTCAAAATGACCTCTATATCCTCACATACAACACTCAAGTCCATTTCTGTGTCTTGACACCGCCACCCCTGAGCTGCCCCCCCCCATGCCTGGCACGCCCATCTATGTCACACAGAATCCTTCTCTCTCTGTAAGACATAGATTGAGCAGAACTGCTGTCCCCAACTACACCCTTGTATAAAACTAGTTTATTTACTTACATACGTACCTGTCTCTCTGATCAGAATGAAAGCTCTTTGAGGGTCAGAAATGTTTTGTTAATTGTATTTGCATCCCCAGTGCCACCAGGGTAGGCGATTTAAAAATGCCTGACTGACTTGCTGCAAATTTTTTATGTAAGAAGATCTTACTTGGATATCTTTATGTATATGGGGAAGGGGTGAGGTTCACAAAACCAATCAACACTGAATTTCTATGGAATTATCAAATACATCCTGAACATTTCATTTTGGTTTAGCAATTACATGCCCTAAGTACTACAAACAAAAATACAATTTAAGTTTAGGGTTAAATTTATGAACTTTTAAAAATTCTGCACATGTACATTTTTGTGATTTGACATTTTTATAGTTTGATCATTTCACTGCTGCTATAATCAGAAGGGGGAGGGAGAGCACTACACCAGCCTTGCAAACAAATGAAAAGAATCCTCACTAGCTCCAAACACTTTATTTTATTTATTTGATTATTTTTGGGTGAGGCAATTGGGGTTAAGTGACTTGCCCAGGGTCACACTGCCAGTAAATATCAAGTATTCGAGGCCAGATTTGAACTCAGTTTCTCCTGACTCCAGGGCTTGTGCTCTATCTACTGTGCCACCTAGCTGCCCCACGCTCCAAACATTTAAAAAAAACTAATCTATGTAGTCTTTCCTTCTTCATCTCCTACTAGAGTTATACGGGCTAGAAAATGAGTAAATATGTTTGTTTTTACTCACTACCTCACCCAAGTTGTTAAATTACCCTGAACAAATGACTATCTATGACGCTGCCAAACTTAGCACAGCCCGTTGTGTGGAGAAAAGTTTGAATCCATTTGGGCTGGTCTTACACACTACAAAATCCTATTAAAAACAAATACTTCTGCTCAAGGAGTTAGTACCTTCATAAGAGCCAAGAACCGGTCCAAAATGTTGACAGCCAGGACAAACGTTTCAGTTCGAGATCCAAAAAAGTTGGCTAAACTCCTAAGATCTTTCACCTTGACATTTCTCAATCTCGGACACAAAGTGTTGTCGTTCTGTGATAAAAATGAAAGCTAATTAAAAAAAAAACCTTTCTTACCCCCCAGGTTAACAGAAAGTTAAAGCTCTTGGGTGATTAAAAATGAAAAGACCTTGGGAAAACACTGATTTAAGCGAGATAACAAAACCTCCAGTTATCTTAAAAGGGAACTTGGACAAATCAAAACCAAATTTCTCCAATCACCCCATACGTCCATTCTAATAAAAAACATTTGAGAAATTACATGTTACTGGTCAGTGGCACAAAAATCTTTTTTTTTTTTTTTAACAAAGCATTACATCAAATCAGTAAGTTAATGCATAGAATGCTGCAGGCCTTGGAGACCCCCCCCCCCCCCCTTTTATGCACTACCTTCCCTGGACGGCCCGAGCCCTTTATCTCGCTCTACCCCGTCTCTACGTGACTTGGACACGGGGGTTTGCACGCTCTGCACAGGGCGGCTGTCTGCGGCCTTTCTCTGCACCTGCACCACTGAGCACACAGTGGGCACTTTATACTCAGCCGTCGCCCGTCCAGCCCGAGTACCTGGCCCAGGAACGCAATTCCCCCGACCTGGCCGCGCTCATTTTTTTAATGAATAGGTTGCTATGGTTGCGCCCAGCCCGGGGCATCTCGCGGTCCCAGGACCCGCACGGAGGAGTGGACGGCCTCCCCTCCCCCGCTCACCTCCGAGGCCGCCTCGATCAGGCTCAGCCCCTTCTCCCGGGGCTGAAATCTCTGCTCCCGCTCCAGGTAGAGGTTCAGCAGCCGGAAGAGCTGGACCCCCTCCCGGCCGGCCAGCTCCTCGGCTCCCAGGTCCTTCATCTGCGGCCCAACGAGAAGGATTAATGAGGCGGGGGGGCGGGGGCCTCGCAGCGGGGGGGGGCGCCCCCCTCCCGCGGCGGGTCTGCCCCGGGGTAGGGGAGAGGACGGAGGGCCCAGCCGCAGGCAGGCGCCTACTGTGTGCCAGCAGCCCCCGGGGGACAAAGAAAGGCCCGGAGCGGGGAACAAAGGAAGCCCCGCAGCCGCCCACTCACCGCGCCGGGGATCCTGCTCCCGTGCCCGTGGCGCCCCGGCCAGGAGAGCGCGGGTAAGAGGACGGGCCTCCGCGCCCTGCCGCTCCACCTGCGCGACCCCGCGGGTCAGCGACCCCCCGGGGCCCTCATCCACCCGCGGCCCCGCGCTCCCTCCGACACCGACACCGCCGCCGCCGCCGCCGCCGCCAGCCTCACAGCGCCCGCCTCATCGCGGCAGTCCGGCCTGCCCGTCCCCCCGCCCCCTGCCCCTCGGCCGCCCCGCCGCCCTTCGGCCTCTGCCGCCGCCGCCGCCGCCGCCGCCGCCGCGGAAGGAAGCTCGAGCTCGCCCCTTGTTTTTGTTTTGAGCTTCCAACTCCCCCGAGGGGGAGGGGCACGTGACCCGCGTAGGGATCCGGGTGAGCTCGACAGAAGAAAAGAGTCCCTCTTTAAAATCGCTCTCCCTCCCTGGATAACCGGCTCCACAGAGCCCGCCCCGTGGACAAAATTCTTCTTAGAAGGGCCTGCTCCGTCTCGGATCGTCCGGGCACTGGAACCTATCACGGTCGGGGCCCTGAGGTCCGACCGGGGCGGGGAGGGGAGATGGGGTTGGCGGAAGGAGATGAACCTCTAGACGAATCACGACCTTTAAAGATCCCCGATTTGTTTTGTTTTCACTGTTTTTGAAAAGTCCGCCCAAAGTGGCCGGCTCTCTGATTGGTTAAAACTCGGCAAACTGCTCGCTGATTGCTCAGTGCAATCCTGACTCCGGATTGGTGGGGACGAGACGCGTTTGAGTTCTCGGATTGGCTCTCTCCGTACCCAGGGTCTCCATCTGCCTTCGGGCCTTAGCAACTCTATTGTTTTGAGTGCGCATGCTCAGAGGTACGTATTTGCATCGCCCCATTACCTAGCCTCCCCAACCCCCACCTGTCCCGGGAGAATTCTATCCTGGTTCCGTTCTCCTCGAGAACCCGGCCAGGCAGATTGCAAAACCTGGTGGCTCGTAGGTATTTCCCAGATTGTATCTGAACGTAGGGCACCGGGATTCGAGCTAGATTTTAAAGTTCTCAGGGCAGGGACCCCTCTTACCTGTCTGTGCTGGATGCAGGGCTATGGAAGCACCTAGGACTGTTGCTACGATGCTAGGGCCTCCCCCGGATGACGCCTAGAAGCCTGTGGCCATGGGTCACCCTGGAATTACCGCGTATTCCTTAGTATAATTAGGGTTACTTTGACAGGGCAACACCTCTGTCCCACGGCACAAAGGAGGTGACTGAGGGGCCTAGGGCAAAAAAAGACTTTCGCACGGGCTGCATTTAGAGCTGTGTGGCTGGAGATACCGCGGATTGTATGACCGCCTGCCCACCAAAAAAAACAACAACAACCCGAAAACCATTTTCTTGAGTTCTGATCCATACATACGTACGTATGCATACACACATATTTTGCTGAACATGTGTGTGTGCATGTATGCATATATACATATATTCTGGTGGACTTTTATATTTTGCTAAA